AAGATGAATAATACTGTTGGCGCAAGCCTGACTTTAAACATTTTGTACACTAGATGTTTCATAGTTTTAGTGTTGCAGTTTGTGGTAAGTACCTTAACAAAATCTCATTAGAATGAATGAATGTATAAAACCAATTTTTCATGGACTTTCATCCACTTTTTAAGCTTTCCTCCTTAAATAAAGGCAACAGTAGTATACCGCTGTTCGAAATTCATAAATCGATTGAGAAAAAAACAAATCCGGGTTACAAACTAAAACTGAGGGAAACACATCAAATATAAGAGGAGAACTACGACACAACAGAAACACAACATTAAAATGTAACACACACAGAAACGAACTATAATATAACAATGACCATTTTCCTGACTTGATACAGGACGTTTTAAGAAAAAAAATGGTTGGTTGAACCTGGTTTTGTGGTTAGCTAAACCTCCCGCTTTTATGGCAATGTTAAATATAACATTAAAATGACAACATTACATGACAGGACTACAATACAAATAAATGGGAGAACATATAGGACAGAGAAACATACGAATAATAGCTAACAAAAGGTATCAGGTTTAGAATTTTATACGCAAGACGCGCGTTTCGTCCACACAAGACTAACCAGTGACGCTCAGATCAAAAAAGTTCGAAAGCCAAAATAAGTACAAAGTTGAAGAGCATTGAGGACCAAAAGTTCCAAAAAGTTGTGCCTAATACGGCTAAGGTATTCTGTCTGGGATAAGAACATCCTTATTATTTAGAATAATTCATACTTTTGCAAACAGTAAATTTATAAAAATGACTATATAATAGATATACATGATAACACCGAAGTGGTGACTAACTACAGAATAAAAACGAATACATAAAACAAAATAAACCAGCACATAAAAATTCACTGCCGAGTTAGCCAAAGAGATCAACGCACAAAGTGACGTCCCATTTTGAATTTCCCCAAAATAGGATAGAATTAGGATAGAATTCAAGATAAGGTTTGTAATACTCATATAACATTTATTAATAACAATGAAAATTACAATACTAATTAATATAAAATTGTGGTAGTAGTTAGATAATTAATTGTATTATCTAGCTATGTCGGTGTTTCTTCTAAATCAAACTGTAAACCAACTATATAGTATAAATTTAGTTGACCCAAACTAAAATCTAATAAATGAACTGGGTGATTAATTATCTTTACCATAACACACAATACAACAGAAAAAAATAAGATTTACAACTACAAACGATAAGACATTTGACAAAATCCGATGAGAATAACAAATATAACATCAAAACTAAATACATGAATTTTGGATAGAAAAGCACCGTGACACGTCTTATAGCAATACGAATTCACACTCAGCAAAACAGTCACAATCGGGAATAAGTCTCGTTCGGTAATTAAAAGATCAGACGACGTAATGTCAAACCACAATCTAACACGTGGTAAAAATGTCCTTAGTTAGTTTGGACAAAGACACATCGTATGGATCAACCAATTCGTGATGGTGTCCTTAAAATTTACGGAGTGTCATTTTTAATCTGTCCTCCTCATAACTTTGTTGGAGCAGTTTCTGCGTTAGGAGCACACTCCTGTACATGAAGTCCGTATAGTGTGAACATGCACGAGCATAACGTATCAACTGAAATATGTAAACACCATACGAAGGGCCAGAGGGTATGTTACTGCTGAGAAATGGGAAATTGATAATTTGGAAGTTGAAATCGTCCCGTTTATCATAGATTTTCGTGTGAAGTCGTCCATCTGTGTCAATATTGAGGAAAAGATCAAGGTATGAAGCAGTCCTTCTAGTATCAGTAGTATCCATAATTTCAAGTTCACTGGGATATATGAGATGTAAGTATTGGCTGAAATATGGGTTATTCAATGATAGGACATCATCAATATATCGGAAAGTAAAATTAAAGAATTTCGCAAGGTGCTTTTTCTATAATAAGTCCTTAAGTCCTTATCTATGAGTCAATGTGAGAAATTGAAATCCTTTGGCATCTACCGTCCGTAACATATCACGTTTCATTATTCTTCTCTGAAAATAATAATGTTGCCAAAGTTATGAATGGATGTGATATCCTAGTGACGAATGTTACCAATGCATTGAAAATTTTAAGATAAAAATCTCTATCATAACTTTTCATGGAAATCACACCTGGCTCGCCTTTATATTTTTATTTTTTGCTGGACCAAGTTTCTATATTCAGATAATATTTTGATTTCTTGAAGGAAAGGAGGTCGAACACTTTTTCATATATTAGATTCACAATGCATTAACCTCTGTTGCATTCGATACATTGCAAACTACGAACAGGTATCGTTCATGGCTCACCTGGCCCAAACAGCCATGTGTGCTATTATTATTACTTGGCGTCTGTCCTCATCTTCGATAACTTAAAAACAAAAATCGCCTCTATGAAACTGCTGGGACAAATGATACCAAAATTTACCTGAGTTTAATTTGACAATGATTTTTCAACCTTTCGCGGGGTTATATACATTTGTTATTATTCTCTGTTCCTTTTATAATTTATGACCATCTCTTGAAGGGTAATAAGTTTTCCATAAACTTTTTGAGAGTTCACATACACGAAATTATATTGAATAAAATAACAGCCACAGTATGGGTCAAATTTTGTTTATGCACAACTAATCAACTTATATGCTGATACCTTTTAGGATTGATATAAAAGTAACATATTCTATTTAATGATCTTATTTATGATCCTTTCCTTTTGTGATTCTATGATTGCTATCTATGGAGAGTCGGCATTAGAATTGTCTCAATGTATTGTCAATTATGGTAATATTAAATATATAATGAGAAAGAGATGAGAACTCCGCAAAATGTACAAATGAAACACAGGTCACGTACTTTAATTTTTCAAAGACTGGTATTTCAGGCGATCAAATATCCAATTTTTTTGTTTGTTAATAGTCTGGAAAATGCATATTTCAGAAAAAAATAAAATTACGTATCAGTATTATTATTTTCCTCCCAAAATTTCAATAACATTTAAAATCTATTTGCCAAAAAAGTTATAACAAACTTTCATTGATAAGTTCTGCTAGTATCATTTATCCTTATTTTTTCTTTCAATTAAATGTGTGTTAAAAACTAATGGCGTTTCCTGCAAGTTTTATTTATAGTGTAAATGAAAACAATAACTCACGTCCAATATAAAACCAAATTTTTGTTGTAAATGGGTTCAATTTGCTTTGCGCCAGTTTTCATTCTTGTAGTGTGTGTTATTTTATTTTTCGATTATTGTCAATTAGTCTTATTGTAAGATAAGACACGTTTACCAATCCTCTAATTTGTGATGTCTAATCGTCAGATGTGACACATGAACATATTGCAACATGAGTATCATGATGGATATCACAAATGAAGCAGAAATTGCTGACCTCTCTGGAATACCTGATTTCACATCCGGTTTTGGTGGGTTTGATAAGCAACATTCTAAAACACGGGAAGACTTCACTTATATATTTTTTTTAAAATTATCGTAAGAAAGAAAGAACACATTAACACTGAATTTATTTCAATTGAGGACATTTTCGAATATCTTTCAATCCCTACAAACTTTACAGTGTCACAGTTTCATGTGTATACTTGGAGGTTGTAATAAAATTATAAATTATAAATGATAGTTGATGGCTTAAAACTACAATTTTGAAAGATTAAGGCAAATTTTGAAAAATTAATAGTATTTAATGTTGCAAAGGATAATGCTCTTTACTGTTACCTATATTCAGTAGAAGATAACAGTATCGTATTTTGATAGTTTTTACACTATACGCTTAATTCATTCCGGTAATTCACATCTCTAGTCCTATGCAACTCCAACAAGTATGAGTAAAACTGCTGTTTTTATTATCCAGAACTGATGATAAGAACACGAAGAATACTCCGACAAAGTTTGTCGCGAATTATTTCCATCAATTATTAAAAAAGCTTAATGAATGAATACTTAATTTACTCTGAAACATCAGTTAATGTTTTTTCAATGTTTATGATAAATTAATTTCTATGAAAAGCCAAAACTTGTTTTTGCAAGAAGTCACTTACTAAATGAAAAGTTATGATTGTCTTAAATAATAAAATGTTTTATCTTGCTCGCTATCCTCTTTAAGTACGTAAAGAAAATAAAAAAATGACTCGCGATACGAGCAATTCAAGAAAAAAAATGTATTTTAAAGTCATATGAAACGACTTTCTTGTAATTATAATGTTATCGAAATTATTGAACCAATGCCAGCGCATATACTAATAATATTTCTTATTTAATAAAATATGTGTATTTACTTTTCTTTGCGTAATAAGAAGTAATTCGGTTAAAGACCTTTATATAATTCTTTTGGCGCCTTTTTCTAATTATCGAGAAAACACCAAAGCGAGTTCGACAGTTATATTTATATATTACTTATTATAATGCTTTTGTATAGAAGTTGTTCTTGTTCTAATTCATATTATTTGTATTTGTAGATTGTGATTCCAGGTATTGTTGTAATACTTCACATGTTTATTAAAACTGCTTTAGTGCGTCTCTCAATTCATACCAGTCTTCAGTTGTTTTATTTTGAAGTAATCAGAAAAGTTTTATGTTCGGATGAGCAAAGCGAAGGAGAACATAAACTAAGTCCTGTATGCACGTTTTTTTTCACATTAATTACGAATCTATAATATATTATCGACAAATGATATTTCAGAAGCCGTTGAAGACGTGAAAAATAAGTAAATTATTAGAGCCATGATATTTTTTTGTATATTTTCCATGCATTTCCTTTACAGTTGTTATACGATTTGGTGTATATAATTTGTTCTTATAAGAAACAGTTATTACTATTTACTTCAAGTCCACGTTTGTTTTCATTAATTCGGCACGGTGTTTCCCTTGCACTTGCGCTGTGCGTTGGCCTGACAAGAGGTCTCGTAGTTAACGTCACTGCATACGGGAATATATCGGCGAAGACAATAATTCAATAGTAGTACATTTATGATGATTTTAATAATAGAAAGGTTTTTCTTTAACAAGAAAGTCCATGTACACTTGTTTTATAGTAAAACTTAGCAATTCAAGTATATAAAACAAATTATTTTTTTTTTTGAAATTTGAAGTTTCATATGACTTTAAGAGTATTTTTTTCACCATACCACTATAAAAAGAATATCCCGACGCACTCAGTCGTGAGTTTCTATTGGAACTATACAATTATTATAAATCTAAAAGAATTCATACTTGATAACACAATGAACTATTCACTAATGTTCATTCTATGATAATATAAATGAATTTCTATGATAGACAAAAACAGTATGTTTGTAATAAATAACTTCAGAAATAACACTCTATAATTGTCTGCGATGAGTTCGATATCATACACAAAGGGTATTACTTTATGATTGTCTTAATCGGCTGGGAGATTGTGACCCAGTAGAACCACTTTCCTCTCTTTCTTCTAATGATTTTGTTTTTCTTGCTACTCTCGGTGATTCTCCTGTCGGCTGAGTTGTCTCAGATGAGGCCCTCAGAATGCTTACTTGGGATGGTCGTGTTGTGTTTGACCGATTACTTTGTTCGGATATGGAATCATTTTGTTCCTCCGCATAGCGCTCTGTTTCAGACGATAACTGTCGCATTTGCTTTGATAGAGGAGCTCTTTTTCTTGCTGAAGCATGTGTTTTATTTACGGATGATTTAGTGTCAAAGAGATCTTTCGTTCCTCGCTGATTTGATGACGACCTTGAGAATGACACTGTTTTGTCCATGTTTTGTCTTGTAGAAGTTTCGTTGTTATATCCAACTTCTTTTGTTATCTGATGTTGGATATCTTGGGACGATCTAAGGACACCAGGTTGCTTCTCTGTAATAATTTTCTCTTCTTCACGATATTGCGACTTGCGTAGTCTCTCATAACATGCGATATTTTCTAACGACAATTTCCTTCTTTCCGTAAGATTAGTTTTTTTCATTTCTTGCAATCGAACTAACACAGGCTCATTTCTAATGTTAGAAACAGAGTGATTGAGATTTTCAATAGAAGGCCTACGCTCTAAGAAATCATCAAGACAATCTTGTATTATATCCTTTGTGCTTTGAGATAAACTTTCTAGTGTATAAGGACAGCCATTTAATGCACATGGCTTGCAGTTATCGATGAATTCCGAAAGAAGTTGCTGACGTTGGTCTTTAAAAGCTGGTCCCACTAAAATCTCAAATACTAAGAGACCAAAAGCATAAATGTCCGCACATGCAACATAGAGATCTCCATTTAGAACTTCTGGGCTGAGGTAAACGAAGTCTCCCGCAAGCACTCTACCCTTATCTTCTGGTAATGGAGCGACCTTCGGCTGGCATGCTCCACAGAGTTTAACAACATGATTGTCGTCGATCTAAAAGTAAATAATATAACTGAGTTATTTCACCATATATAAAAGAAGATGTGGTATGATTGCCAATGATACAACTCTCCACAAGAGACCAAATGACACAGAAATTAACAACTATACGTCACCGTATTGCCTTCGACAATGAGCAAAGCCAATACCGCAAAGTCAGCTGTAAAAGGCCCCGAAATGACAAATGTAAAAGCATTCAAACGAGAAAACTAACGGCCTAATTTATGTACAAAAAATGAACGAAAAACAAATATGTAACACATCAACAAACGACAACCACTGAATTACAGGCTCCTGACTTGGGACAGGCACATACATACAGAATGTGGCGGGGTTAAACATGTTAGCGGGATCCCAACACTCCCCCTAACCATGACTATTTCAATAACTACAGACATGAGATATTGTACTATTGTACTTATCAGCATCCAAATCAGATGGGTTACATCATTTAACATGGTACAACCGAAAACAATGATATTTATTATTTCCTCTATTTAGGTTTTAATTTTTTATATGAGTTGTACAAATTAAGAGGTTACCACACATTTCATGTGTATTCGTTTCGCTGAAAAGGTCAAAGTCAGAAAGTTATCTTAAAATACTAAACATCAAAGAATCTATTTGACAAACTTAAAACATTTTTCAATAATCTCACATTTTTCCATTAAATGAAAATCATATTAACCACTACATATTGCTTTTTAAGGCAATTTTGACACACTATAGAAATTTATACGTGTTCTTGAAAAATTATGCATACATAACATATTTGACTATCTGAAAGACAGCATACCGATTTGTTTTCATTGAAATGCTTATTTTGGTTAAGAATGTCCTTCTTATATATATATATATATTTCTTCTGATAAATCGGTCTTCTCAAAATTTCAGTTTTGTGCTTTTGTTTTGTGTTAGACATTTAGAATTTAATCATATATTTGTTTGTATTGTTACAACTTCAAAGTGCACACTTGCACATGTGTTACTGTAGAGTTAAATCTGTATTGCACGGTACACTTTTAGGAAATGATCCTGGTCTGATTTTAATTCCGGTGAAATTGACTCTACCTTTTTTTTACTCTCTTCAAAGACTTTCGAGGGTGTGGGACAATACACTATTGTTAAGTCGAAGCTTATCTTCAAATATGTAAAAAAAAAAAGCCTATAATGGTAGTTCTATATCAATTTACCGATGATACTATCCACGTAGTATATTGTGGATATGGGTGTCATTTTATTTGCACACTGATGTATTTTTTCCTACATTATATGTTCTGGAATTATTTCTCAACTTTTTCTGACCATCTGTCTTCAGCTTACAAACGTTAATTCTGTCAAGTGTTTATCTGAAATTCATTGTAGCCCTAAACTTCACAGTTATCGTCCTATAAATTTGGAATTTTATATTGAAGAAGGTTATTTAACGCTTCATTATGATTTTAATTTTAGAAAGCTATTACTATCATCTATATTCAAATTAAACTAATGCCCCGGATCTGATAAGATTCTAAAGTAAGTGGTAAATTGAACTGCGTTTCTGGCCATAGAAACTGTTGCTATTCAATTCAGGGAAAATAATAGTATTTTATTTTACATGTTCTTGGACATTTCTATCCTTTGGAAAGACATACTTAACCTAACTTAACTTAAGATAAACTCATTCGAATTTTTGTAAAAACATCTGGAATATCTTCTCTACCTAAGTGTACTTTGAATTTGTGTAACAATTCTTTAGAAATTAATAATTTTTATCACATTTTCATGATTTTAGTCAAAGAACGGCATTTTTTTGCTGTATACTTATCTTATTCAAAAAAAAATTATCGGTGATTTTTTAACAAAAATTGGCACAAAAAATCTTAATACATAATCAAGTAAAATGTCATTTTTAAAAAGAGGGGTCCATGAACTCGTTTTCAAGTTAAATCAGTCTGAATTACAAAAATCAATCGAAAATGCATCTTTTCCCAATATGTCAGTGTTTGACGTCGTGAAAAATAACATTTTATGTTAGGAACGTCATTACCTCCCCTGTAACTGTATCGTATGCCCTTAAATATGAATATTTACCACAATTGTATTCTGATTCAGTTCCATGTGTACCATTTTCTTCCTGTGTATGTATTCAAGGCCGTATAGAATTTCATGTAATATTCTTGGTATATCTTCCTTAAAATTTATAAATCTGCTTTTGATAAACCGACATAGTGGCTGGAGATTCCCGAGAAACACAAAAGCTGGTGTTGGATGATCTGAATTCTGGATACCTAACAATTCTGCGACATTTTCATTTTTTAAAAGCCTGAAATCAGTAAATAATTATCATCCCAGATGTAATAGTAACCCAATGTTTTTTTTAATTACGTGTCAAATAATATTTTTAAGATAAGTAATGTATCTCCCTCATGCATACCTCTCATTCTTTGTTTGAGTTTGGCTATAATTTCTGGTCCTTTTCGGTTATTATGATCACTTCAAATATTATATTAGATAAGACATATAGTTTTTCTGTTAATTATGATTTTTATATCGAGGCTGCATCGGGTCATAATGTGTTTTTTTGTTGTTGTCCCAGTGTCCTTCAATTGTTAGGATGAGGATTCAAAAACATTTTCTATGTTTACGATTTGCTGATTTTGTAAGCAAAGCACTACACAGGATCTGTATTTCAAGCAGACTGATTTATATACTTATTTGCAAGAATACGGTAGTTTGATGTGAAGCATCATATAGCATTATACATACACATATATACTATTTTAAATATTAGTAAATTCAAAAGTTTGTTCCTGTGTATAGTATGTAGCATAAAACGATCATGATCAATGTTTTAAAAATGAATAACATATTCTTCTTATTTTTTTGAAGCGCAATACAATTATCATAAAGGTTGTATGTTTAAACAATAAAATTTGGCTCGATTGTCATTGAGACAACAATCAAATAAAGGACAAAGAATGGGGAAGTAAGCAGCCAGAAGTTAAATGATTGCACAACCGTTCTGTATGGTAAGCTGAATAGCAACAGTAAACCATGAAAAAGGGTCAACTATGTTTATGATTACCTCAATTTAGCCACTTCTGAATCTGTGTTTTCTATTCTTGCATTTTTTAGGTAGATCCTTATAGTAACTGGTTCTTCTTTGTTGTTCGCTATAAGAATACCATTCTGTTGAGCAGACCATAGACTTCTAGGAATAACTTTCTGGTTCCATGTAGCAGTAGAAGATGCAATACTTTCAAGCATTTGGGAAACATCAAACGGCACTGATGATCGTCCTTCACTAGGTGTTTTAGTAATTATTTGAATGTCATCAACACCAAAGTCATTCACAAAAATGTAACCTTCACCATAGTCCGTTACCGTTCGCTTTAGATGCTCTAAGTTTTCCATCATTCGTTCATACACTTCACGAGACGAAGAACCCTCCTTTCGGCACATGGATATGTGATCCATGTTTTTCTGGTTTGTTTCCACCATGGCGGGAATTTTCCTCTCGATATCTCTCAGAAAGTCTTTTGGTTCTCGCATAAATTCACTGATCACTGCTCGAAGATGATCCTCCTGTTTATCGTTTAAGAATTTATCTAGCGTCTTTTCTGACCTCCTTTTTGCCCAAGTTATTGGATCCCGACGATACTCTTTCAGTTTCCCTTCATTATGTTTGCCATAGAAAATATTGCTAACCCTTTTTCCAGCTTTTCCAAATGGTTTAAACATTCTGTTTACAAGTTTAACTGGGAGTGCTATTTTTGGCATTTGCATTTGAACAGCACCGATTGGAATAGAGTATCTTCTGCCATGCTTTTGTTTCGGACTGATTGAATCTTCAGATGTTATGCTTCCTGCGTCTGACTGCAAGTCATCCTCAATAACTTGCAGTTCATCTTCCAGAATATTTAATTTAAATTGAATGGATCGCTCGACATTTTCTTTGACTTGTTTAATTTTTCCTTGTTCGTCTTCCCAGTTCTCTAGTTCTCTTGAAATCCTGCCAACTGCTAAATCTTCCATGTTTGCCTTTAATTCCCCGAAGTGTTGGAAAGATTCAATATCCGGCAATTCATTTTCAATCCAAGAAGTGATTGCCATTCGAGTTTTTGGCATCTGTAAGTACGTACCAAATTCGCGGCAAATTTCATCTGTTTCCTCTTGTATTTGCTTTCTGAGATCGTTTATAGTAAGTTCAGATTTCATTTTAAGAGTGTTAAGTTTATCCCAAACACTTCTCATCTTTGATTCTAAGTCTTTTTCTGAATTATCAATTCTATGTACTATTGTTTTCAAATGGTGAACGCTTCTCTTCAAAACAGTTTCAAGCCATCTAAATGAAATAAAGAAAACAGTTTAATCAGTCGGTGATGAATGGTTTAATCTCCATGACTCCAATTTCGAAAAAAATTAAGAATAAACAGTTCAAGTTGGAGTACTTTATTCGAAGGACGCAACAGTTTTAAAAGCAGAATTGCAAAAGAGAAACATTCACCTGTCATGGACAAGAATATATGCAAATGTCTATGTATGTAATTTATGTTGTGTAATCGATGTTTCAATATAATGGATTTTTATGCAACTGTCACTCAAGTGAGAGGTTTAGCTAGCTATAAATCCAGGTTTAATCCACCATTTTCTACATCAGAAAATGCCTGTACCAAGTCAGGAATATGACAGTTGCTATCTATTCGTTTGATGTGTTTGAGCTTTTGATTTTGCCATTCGATTAGGGACTTTTCGTTTTGAATTTTCCTCGGATTTCGGTATTTTTGTTATTTTACTTTTTTCATTATATAAACAACACATAGCTGAGAGGGTGATAGAGTAGAGTGTTACCCCGGGAAAACATTGTCAATCGCAGCGTAGCCCTCTCAGTTATTTGAACAGTTATTTAATTTATTATACTGAATATTCTGTAATCATTGTCTTTTTAAATCTTAAATCAAAAGTAATAAACTATGACGTCATGCACAAAACAACAATCCGTATTTATTAAAGCGTACAAATGGGAATCTTTGTATGGGAAATGTCTAGATCGTGGTTCAAACTGGTTGTATAAAATGATACAATGGAAAATATAAATTAAATGGTCAAAGGCACACCGGACATTAAGTTACGACAATACACCGTCTGGCTCCAAGAGCAAGTTATGCTAAAATGATTTGAGGTACGTTAATTTGGTTTTATTTGTGACACACAAAATGCTCTACTAATATTCAGCTACTAAATCGACGAAAATGTTAATCACTTTTTATAGCACTCTGAAGACACCAGTCCTTGATGTTGGAACCTACGTCAAAACTAAGATTACGTTATAAAATATAAAGTCTTACATACATCAGTGTCAGACATGGACGATAATTTGACTCAAGTTTGAGATTTGTTTGATGCTATTCAGTGGCGGGTGTTACTGAATAGTTCAATTTACTTGATATTATGAAATTGTGGTGAGGGCTTACATAGGCTTGGCCTGTTGCCCAATCCAATTCCACTTATTTGAATAAAATATTGTATAAACTAGATAAATAAAATATATGTTAATTCGTTTAAAATGCTTCTATTTTGTAAAATTTGTAATGAAGTGAACTATCAATACTAACTTATAGGTAGAAATAACACGGATGTCCATTGCCTTATTGTATACGTTTCTGATATTGTCCAGAAGTTGTTTATAATTATCAACGATGAAGTCTGGGTCAATGTCGCACTCCATCTTTGCTTTGAAGGCTGAAAACTTCATCAGTTGAGTTATTGTCATATTCGGCCATATTGATTTCAATCTGTTATATGCATGATTAAACACTGTCTCAGTTTGATCTTCTGCGATGAGGTCCCAAAAATTACAAACAAAAAGAGCACAATGAGAATCAAATGGTAACATTCCTTTCTCTGTCTTCTCCTTCTCTCTCTCCAAAATTACTTTTAAAAGTCCTATAAGCTGTCGAATGGAAACAAAATAATTCTCATATAAAATTCTTTGTTTATACTTTAAAGATATTTTGATAGATGTTTTTCCTATTTTCTTGTCTTTAAAACTTTGGCTTAATTTTTACTGATAACATGTATAGTTTTATATTTATTTGATAATACCATTTTACCTATTATGGCATTTGCAATATGAATCCAAAATAAATTAAATACATAATACATAATACTGTATGTTGTAAACTGGAGGTTCCAATGATCTTTAATCTCTCATCTAGTATGAATAAGTTACATTATTATATATATATTTTTTTTAATTTGCAGCTTTTCGAGTGCTTTCATAGTATGAGACAATACATACTTGCATTTAACCATGATGTTATATTTTTATCAGTAGCAGTCGTACTGGTTTGATGACGGAGTTCATTTTAAAATTTACCATAAATGATTATGAAGGCAAAGTATAGTTCCGATAGGCACAGTCGATTGTAAAGAGGCTTTTTAGAACAGTTTATGACAGACGACGGACACAAAGTAATTACAAAAGCTCAAACTGTTCCTTTTAACTAAGTGGCTTCAAAAAGAATCGTACCCTGTCTTCATCAACTCCTCCAGCATTATCAGATTTTATGGCATACAGAAACCCATTTATCTGATTCTCATTAACAAAGTTTATGATAACTTTGTCCATTTCATCGTTTTCTCCTATTCCTGGTGAGTCAACAACAACAAGTCCACACTGAAAGTAAAACACAACAATAAGTTTTTTTTCTGCATTCCTGAAGTCGTAAAAATAAAGCGCATAAAGCAACTGAATATTAATTTTAATAAGTGACAGGAATGTCTATTGCTTATTTCTATGTATACTATAGAGCTCCATTCTATATACTATAGAGTTTCATTCGGTATACTATAGAGCTCCATTCTGTATACTAATGACCTTTATTCTGTATACTATAGAGCTTCATTCGGTATACTATAGAGCTCCATTCTGTATACTAATGACCTTCATTCGGTATACTATAGAGATCCATTCTGTATACTAATAACCTTTATTCTGTATACTATAGAGCTTCATTTGGTATACTATAGAATTCTATTCTGTATACTATAGAGCTCCATTCTGTTTACTAATGACCTTCATTCGGTATACTATAGAGCTCCATTCTGTATACTAATGACCTTTATTCTGTATACTAATGAACTTCATTCGGTATACTGTAGAGCTCCATCCTGTATACTAATGACCTTTATTCGGTATACTATAGAGCTCCATTCTGTATACTAATGACCTTTATTCTGTATACTATGACCTTCATTCGGTATACTGTAGAGCTCCATCCTGTATACTAATGACCTTTATTCGGTATACTATAGAGCTCCATTCTGTATACTAATGACCTTTATTCTGTAAACTAATGACCTTCATTCGGTATACTGTAGAGCTCCATCCTGTATACTAATGACCTTTATTCGGTATACTATAGATCTCCATTCTGTATACTAATGACCTTTATTCGGTATACTATAGAGCTCCATTCTGTATACTAATGACCTTTATTCGGTATACTATAGAGCTCCATTCTGTATACTAATGACCTTTATGACTACATTATCTTAGTAAATATTTTCAAATACTTTTTCGTATACTAGCACTAATGAACTTGATTCCTAATATAGAATTGACCCGACGTGATGCCTTGCAGTCAGTGTCTTATATTTCCTATGAAATTAAAACCTAAATTATACAAGAAGTTTTTATAGATTTCAACAAGAAAGGGGTAGGTGTTGTTGTCTTTGAATGATACGTTCTACCTATTGAAGTTGCATTCAGGTACAAGATAAACACTGCCAAATTGTACCACTGTAAAAAAATCAGTCGGGAACAATACCATAGATTCCTATTTTCTAATACGGAAAGCACAAAGTGAGTAGGCGGCTAAATTTGTCTCTTTTGTATACAGTTGATGTATACTGACAGTGTATCAAATTTTGTCTCACAATAGTTAATCTGTACGTTAATCATGAAATATTCTTTATACAGTTTTTGACGTAGAGACAACGAGACAGCTTCAGATTTAACTCCGTTCAGTAAGGTCATGTAGATTTGGGATTTTTGTTACCTGTGATAGCACAAGTTCATATATACTAGACATAGGGATGGTTGAAATATTTCTTAGAATATCTTTAGCATTGAAGTTCTAAATGAATGAACATTTGTAATTTTATTTTTTCCTTTTAAGATGGTATTGACAGCAAAATGACTCAAATGATCTTTTTTAAAAGAACGCAAAATAATCGCTGGCTTAAACCGAGAAACAATAAATCCTGATTTGGCACTTTCAAAATGAAAGCAATAAATAAGGTTTATGGTGTTGAATTAAGATTATAAGTTGCCTATATTTCAAATTCTTGAGACAAAATACAAAACTCTCCCAGAGTAAAGACAAATCTACCTTATACATCTAAGATGATCTAGCACCACGCAATCGAAAAAATACATAACGTAAAATTAAACTTTCGTATTCAGTATATGCCAGAAATAAATATCCTTAGTGACAAGGAAATAATTAATATTAACAAATATGACTGTCTTATTAGTTTAGCATTGTTACAATTTAACTTTCCAGCCAACTAGTTCTCATTCAGATTGATTTAGTCAGTTGTTTATTGTGTATTGCACGTTCTGGTCAGACCTTACACCACATTTATATATCATTCAAGACAAACACTGTTAATTTACAATATATGTAATGATTTTTTTTCCCTAGTTAAAACATTGCTGTCAGAAAGATAAAAACAACTTTTATATGTAAAATATAGTTTAGGTACTAAAACAAGAGGCAAACAGTTTTTGGTCTGAAACAGTTATTATGTTTGGTTTTGGACATATAAGTGTTCATTACCTCTAAAATTTTAGCTGGTACATAAATTTTAACTTCTCTTATTGAGGTTGCCTTGTCCCGTTCAGAATCATCGGTAATAAATAAAAATGGCTTCAGCTTTGTGCATATTTCGCCGGGTGGGATGTTTCTGATTTTCTCAACTTTTCCATTCGTATATATTATTTTGGCTCGTCTTTGTTTGTAATAGCAAATTCGGGTAATTACAGATGTACAGCTTCCAAAAAATGTCGGAACAACTTCTTCGCCAAACAACAAATTCAAAATACTGGATTTTCCGGCGGATGTTTCACCTGCAAATATATACAAGTGTTAACAAATACTTGACTTGTCGACAGATTTAATCAATATAATATATAATGAAAAGTAAGATGGAAATGCTCTTTTTTCTTTCGTCTAAATAAGATATACCCGACTAATTAAAAGCAAATTTGGAAAGTGTCCTTTTGTCTTTTAAATAAGAAGAAATAAATGCGGCAACATAAAACTCTAAATAGACTTATGATTATACATACGTTTGCATGTTTCTGGGAAAGACTTGAAATCATATACAAAACTGATAATTCATCTCGAATATAATATGTCATTAGAGATTGTAATAATATCATACATAATTTCTCATCATTTTTACGATTGGATATTATAATCTCTAGACATACTTTCATTTTTTTTCTTATTTTTTTCATCGCCTTCAGTTAAAGTTGTTCAAAATTTATGTTCATTTTACCCAATGAAATTAGATAAATAAATTATAAAAGCAACTTCTTCAACAGGTCACATAGAATTATCATGTAGCTGACTAAGTAGCAAATCGGGTAAAAACTTTCAAAATCATCGTGGTCATTTTGGCTCATATATCATTAATAATGATTATAAGGTAATATAGATACAAACCAGAAACTACAATAGTACAGTCGTCACGCTTTAAAGCTTCTATTTTATTGTTGATATCTAGATCCAAGTTTTGTATGGTTCCTTCTGATTTAAGGAAGCCTTTGATAACAGCACTTCCACGCCTCGATAGCCCGTCCTTAGAATGTTCTGCGGGAACTGGGCCTAGTCTGTCTCTGGTGTCCGTCAGAAGTTTTAACAGTTTCTCCCTTTTCTTTCTATTTTCTGTCCTCATAGATACCATTGAATTTCCAACCTGAAGCAAACATATTTTTCAAAGATGGAAATAATTGTATTCAAAATAATTGTAGACATGCCTGTTAAAACGTTTAAACCCGCTGCATTTGTTTGCATCTGTCCTAAATCGGGAACCTGTTTCAGTGGTTGTCGTTTGTTAATGTGGTTCTTAAGCGTTTCTCGTTTCTCGTTGTTTATATAGATTAGACCGTTGGCTTTCCTGTTTGAATTGTTTTACACTAGTCATTTTGGGGCAATATAGCTTGCTTTTCGGTGTGAGCCAAGGCTCCGTGTTGAAGGCCGTACTTTGATCTATAATTGTTTACTTTCTACAAATTATGACTTGGATGGAGAGTTGTCTCATTGGTCCTCATACCACATCTTCTTATTTCTATTTATGTTTTATTTCAAAACCCGAATTAGGAAATAATAAACCAATTCAGCGAGTACTAAAGAAAAACATAAAGGGACTCTTTAACTGTTTTTACACAACCTATTGAGACACTATAATAGAAATACATCGCTACCGTTTATGACATGAGGAATGATAAATAGGTCTTGATTTTCCATTTAAGATTCAAAAAGAGAATATCAAATTTTACGATAATTTATACTTTCTAAATTTATACTTTCTAAAGTAACAATAGGTGACTCTTTTACAAAGGTCAATATATATATATAAATGATTTTAAGATACTTTACAAAGTAAATTTAAGAGTATCAGTTTACTTTTCATAATATTCACTCTAAAGATAAGAATAATTTCAATTTTGTAAGAGAAAGGGTACTTCCCACCTCAACTTACTCAAATTCATTTATTAAATTATCCAAAAAGAAAATACAAGGCGGACAATTTTGATATCTTAGGGTTCATATGAGAAATTATTTTATTGCTACGCAGTATATTGATAATTGCTGTTTATGGAAGTATGTGAATAAAATTAGATATAAATGTAGTTTACAATAACTTTTGCAATTTACCTTCTAAATTTAAGACAGTATGAGTTGTACAAATAACATATTCCTCTTTCAAACAAAGAAGCACATTGTGTGGTTGTCTTTGTTTTTAATTCCACTTTCGATGTTATAACTGAGTTTTCATAAATTCATATCAGATGGGCCTTTCTTCAATACTATTACCAAGCAAGATGAACAACATAGGTCCACAATCAATCAACAAAACTCAATACCGAAATAATCATTTTATAACTATTCGTGTGAAACTAAAACAAGAGGGAAACATTTGTGTAATGTTACTGCAGCACATACAACATCCTGTCTGGTAACTTATATGATAATCTAGGCCCAACTCAGAACCGAGATATCAGGTCCATACTACGAGAAACAGTACATCTCCGTATAATAAAATACGCCACAGACATTGGCTTACTAATTTGCTTTATTCCATTCGGTCATTGGATATGAATAAAGGATATATTGGAAATGCGTCAATTAGTCAGCGACACAAAACACCAAACGACATCTAAATGTAAACACACTGGCCTCAACGATAGACAGGTGTTTATATAATATGCCAAGTTCTAAATTTATCAAAAGTGGACAAAATACATTATGGTAAACGGACAGAAAGTCACAGGACAAAAAGTCACAGGACATAAAGTCACAAATTTGATAGGACAACAAGTCACAGGACAAAAAGTCACAAATAATTTGTTGACAATTGTTTGAATATATAAGAGAAAGATCTTGAAATATTTTCTTTTTATTACATATATTCATTTTTAAGTTTAGGAAATTGTTCATAAGCCTTGATAAATGAAAATTTATTAAATTTTAATCATGCAAAGGATATATTTCTTGGCACAATGAAGCCATTTAAGTACCAAACCACTTTGACATTTTGTTTTCATAACAACTATTTGATCATTATTGATATTTACTGAATAAATGTTAATTACAAAGTTGCTTCGTATATAATAGTTCAAGAAAAATACAAAAATTTTGTTTTTTAAATTAGTGTTTTCTTGTTTAAAGTAAAATAATCTCAAAACTGAATTGTGACTTTTTGTCCTGTGACTTTTTGTCCGTGACTTTTTGTCTGTGACTTTTTGTCCTGTGACTTTCTGTCCTACATTCTACATTATATATAAGACTCACACGACGATTTGTCTATAAAGTTAGGTCTAGTAAGTTAATGTAAATCGATAGACGTGAAGATATTTGATGTATTATTAAAAATCCAAATCCGCAAAATATCCATACATAAGTAAACAGAAAAATCAGAAACAATATTAGTCATGTATCGTAGAAGTCCAAAGAAGTCGTAATTTAAGGTATATTAGCATGGTAGATTTAAAATATAATTTACTTCATAAGTTGAAGCCTGGTAAAAATAAAATATAAATTGAAAGTAAATCAAACATTTACAAATGTAAGACTGTTTTTAGATAGTTGCTTCAATTCCCTCTCGATTTAATTGAATGGTGTTTAGTTCAATGTATTTGTGAAGCATGTATACCACGTGACTTTGGTCACATTTTTTACTGACAAGAAGTTTTGTATACATTTATAAACAATGTGTTTAAAATTCAAAATTATCTGATCTATAGAGTTTTCATAGTTAGAATCATGAAAATTGCATCATTATAATAAATGCACCGTATCGAATGCATATTAGAGATGTCATTTTGTAAAATCCTTCTTACAATCTACGCTTTAAATGTTATGTGTGGTAGAGACATGCATCATTAAACTGTAAAACCAAAAGAAAAAAAGAAAAAAAAAACCTACCATAAGCTGTCATTGAGACACATTTTAAAGTCTAAAGAAAATTTTCTAAAAGCAAAGAGCTGTTTTAGTAGATTTTAATTTGTGTTAAAAAAGGCTGTTAGAAATTACTCAGCGTCAATAAAATATACGTGTACTTTATAAATTAATGCGTTCAATACTCCTTATGTCGATACATAAAAAGACCCATTATATTGTTATTTCAATAATCTGTCATAATAACTTGACAGAATGTTTTTTTTCGGTTTGTACTTGATAAATATGCAATGACCCCACCCCCATAAGCTAATCGAATGAAGTGCTCAAATATTTATAGAATGGTTAGATTTTACCATCAGATTTTATTGTTGAGGGAGGTAAATTGAAGTCTGAAAAGAAAATGGCGTATTTTCAGAACACGTGCATTACTATGTCTTCAGTTTATATCATATTTAAACTTATACAGACAGATCAAGTAAGATATTTAAGTGTTCGTTCTAATTTCTAAAACCATCAAACGCATTTTAAAAAAAAACTCATCAAGTTAGTTGTCGTTCAGGCTGAAAAGTTTTCTTTGGTCTAATATTATGTTACGGGACTTTCCCTTTTTATTCGAAGGCAAATGCATGAAATGCATTATACAATAACAAAATTTAACGCCGTTCTAATTAATGATTAATCAAATATAATAAAAAATATTTCTAATGTTAATAAATGTTGTCTGAACACAATTAGTTTTAGTTTTTAATTAAAATGTGTCTATTCAAAATTTGGCACATTTTGATATATATTAGTTTTTTGGTTAATATTAAAACTTGTCGGTTCAATGATAATCAAAATTGCTGCAGAGGTTGAAATATAATCAGTTCGTCAATTTGGAATTAACACAACCTATAATGTAACAGTTGAAGGTTAAAGGGCAATGTATCAGTTGAAATGTAAAGGTATTTGAGTATTTCAAGAATAAAAAGCAACACTGTACAACAAGTGAAATTTGTCATAAAATTCATTTTGTATCGAAATAGAAATATTTTAGATCATTGCTCGAGTGACAGATCTTTAAGTGGAGGTACAAGATTCACACTATTATTTCATTTGGTATTTTATAACGTTTTGTATATACTCTCACTTTCCCATAAGTACGGTAAATATTAATTTTAGTAATTTGATTGTTTGGTAAAATATAAACTCTATGAAATAAAATACTTTTTCCAAATGTAAATTATTAACGTGCCAATAATTCTTGATCTTACAAATGTATGAAATTTAAAACTCTTTAATTTTAATATGGAGGTGGTTTTAAAATTTATTCTAGAACATAGTAGGATGCATATGCTTATCATAAACATTATCTCTTTCTGAATAGTGTTGAACGATTGCCCAGTTAATCATATATCTCTAGTTTTGTACATTTAAGCTGTGTCTATAAGAGATTTACAATAAGTGTATGCCGAAATGACTCTGACTCCGAATACGAAAAATAACTGTATAACACTGCTACGGCGATTGTTTCTGACGATGATGCCTTCAAAGTGTTCTCATGACTTCATGTACCAATAACATGAACTCGATATTCCGGAATGAATCGGTTGAGATTTTCTATAATGTTATGGCTCTCGTGTTATCTGCTGATTGGTGTAAATCATAGCACCAGAATAACCAATCTATCTACTGTCCTATCTAATTCAAATATAGAACTCGGATTTCGTTATACTCCATACGACTATGGAGTATAACGAAATCCGAGTTCTATATTTTAATTAGATTGTCTACTGTCAAAATAATAAAATATTACGTATTAAACTTTTTAATGACATCGCAATAGATAATCCGATATTTCCAAATCTGTCTGATACTGAACAACTAGTAGTTCTGCTGAATCCTTCAAATATTAACCAAGTGAAAAAAAAACAGGTTCCTTTATAAAACAGTCTTTATAACTGAGGACTGGGGCTCTTAGTTTTTTTTGCTTGTATATATATATATAGATCCATTGTGTTACATCTTGTGATCCGTTTATTTGGCAATCGCCAATGACAATCAGCAGGGTTTAAGAACATCCGTTGTTCGACCTGTTAGTCAAATGCGTTTTGTTTAAATATACTTTTTCACTTTTTTGGTCTTTTGGAAAATGTTGTTTGTGCTGTATTTAGACCCCTCTACCAAGAAATTTGTTTTGCATGCACACGTATAAAAATTGCGGTTTTTATCCAACGCAATCATAGGTTTGAACGCTGTTTTCAATTTAGACTTATATATATATATATATATATATGGCTTCAAATCAGTTTA